CAGAGTAAACCCAGTGACCTCGGGAGTCAGCAGATTTCACAATCACTCTCAAATTTAGAAGATGTGTTTCTATTAAAGGAACAGCAAGATTATGAAAAGTTCAGTCCAGCTCATCTCTAAAGCTGTCGTATATAGTTAATACCAAGGAAAAGGCTTGATTCTCTATACTCATTTGGATACTACAATGAGAATAAAACACATTTTCATGCAACAGAAAATATTTTTAACACAAAAATACTAGTAGTAGTTTATCTAAAGGTGCATTGTGCATTGTACAGTTCTCTTGGCGGGTCCGTCAAATGCTTTCTCCATGGATATTGCTTTGTCTGGAATGTTTCACAGTATGGCATTAAACATTTCTATCTTCATGAAGCTCAAACGAGACCAAGTTAAAGATCAGATCTGTGGAGAGGCAATGCTGCTCACAGTACAAATTTATCTATATATCTTTAAGTTATAACACCATCTGTAATTGAATAAATGAAAGGCAGAGCTGATTAATATCATACTGTGGAATATTCCAAGCAGAGCAGTGACATATCCACAGAAACAAGCAGATGATGGGCCCCCTGTCAGAAAGTTACATAGTGCACTTTTAATACTGCCATGTGTGTGCTTATTCTGATACAGATCAACACCATTCTAAAACTTATTATGTGCTTTATTCTCAGTACACTTCAAATGAGTCTAGTTTTGATCTTAGTCTGAATGATAGTTGCCTTTAAATGAAATCATTTACTACTAAAACCACCACTAAAAATCTGCAAAAGTGCTGCTGCTGCTACTACTGCTAGCCTTACTACAGTAACAACTTCTGTTTATTTATAAACTTTGTAAATATGGGTATTAGATTTACACTGGTCCATTGATGTTCACATTCTAGTTGCATGATGAATGGTGTTAGTGCTTGTTTGTGATAAACACATGGATACAGCAGTCAGCACTGATATAGCTCATATACACATAGACCTCTAGTTAGGCTTGAAATACTCCATCAGGCAGTCTGCAATTAACTTGTCGTTTGCCTCCTAAATCGTTATAAAGGAGACAAGAGCAGAAGCACATAGCATTTAAACTGAACACTTTTCAAGTCCAAGCTCTGGGTCACGCCACAATGTGTCCATTCATACATTATCTGTAGTTGGAAAAGACTGATGTCATTCTTGTAATTCTATCTACCATCCTTTGCATAAAACTTCTGCAGCCATAACAGTACAGAGTGTTTGTCTCAGAACAAGTGAAACTAGTGCAAGTCAACCAAAAGAACTAGTACAGTCAGCTAGCTTTACAGGTCAGAGGGTTTATGTGACTGGGGCTGTGCTAGGGGGAGGCTATGGAGTTGTAACTGTAAACAGGTGTCCAAATATATACGCGATAATGTTACTTGTTTCATATAAGATACGACTGATTCAAGAATATTATTGTACGTAACATTTGTTTTTTAATGTATTCCTTTAAATTGTTCTCATATTATTTCAGTGGGTCAGTGATTTAAGGCTTCGAATGTGGACCATATAAAAACCACCTGTTCTTTATGTTTAAAAAAGCATATTTTCAGGGGTTGTCTTCTTGAAGGTTGTATATCACACAAAATCTACTCTTGAGCTTTAAAGCCATGTTATAATGTTGTTACCTCTTCAAAAACAGACCTGAAGTTCCGTTTTATTCCATGTTTGACTTACCCTCACACTTTGTACCCCCTTGTAATAACATGTAGTGGTAGTTTTACCTTTAGTTCAATAGAGACTGGCATCCAGGGCTGAAATCACCCAAATTATTCTTGTGAAGATGTATGGAGTTTGGAAACACAGTGGAGCACTTCCTGTATTACGACATGACATCGTAAGTGTTTTCCATTTGGGAGAAGACCTCAGCCTAAATACGCAGGGTTAACAAAGCTCAAGGTATTTTTTTGATGAGGAAATATTATAACAGACCAGAAAATTGCATAATATCGGCCCTTTTACTAGTCTGAACTTGTCTTAACTAGTTGACCTTGCAAGTAACACAAAGTAATTTCAAAACTAGGCGTGCTTATAAAAACAACGGAAAAGATGTAATGGCTTCTAGTACGCATGACAGAAGTAAAAGTTCTCTTAAATTGTGCCTTCTGTCCCTGCTAACTGTATGTGGGGTGCAATAGCGTGCTCATCCTCTTGCCTTTGTCTGTGTAATGAATGCTCAGATTTAGGGGACCATTACGCCAAATGTTAATAGTAATTGCTTCCAGTAAAAACAAAGTAATATCGCCACAATTTGCTCCTCTATTAACGCATCCATCTGCAGCACGACATGTTTAAAGACGTCAAATTAGGCGCTCTTAGACTTTTACTACAAACATTGTTTTTACTCGGAGATCCAAGCTGCTTTCATGGTACAGCGATAAGTGAGAGATTTAGTGCCTCCTGTGTGGTAGATACACACATTCACTCACAGTATTTTGTCAGTGAAGCGAGGTGAAATGGCGCTGTTGTTGATACTTTGTGATGTATCCAAGACGACTTCTTTTTTGTTTGACAGAGGCAGACAGACACTGGAGCATTAGCGGTAGCATTTGGTGTTATCATAAAAGTCAGGACACTTATCAAGATCTGACTGAAAAAAAAATGTTTAGCATCTTTCTTCTGGAGGAACATTGGAGAGCAAATGAGGCTGTTAAAGGGCCCACGTTCCACTGTTTTCTGATCTATAATATTAAAATATTGTTTTCTCATCAAAAACATCAAACAGAAAACACTCTGTTCCACCTTGTGATGTCATGTGGTAATACAGGAAGTGCTCCACTGTGTTTTTAAACTCCATACACTTTCACTAAAATCATTTGGATAATTTCAGCCCTGGAATTGCCCTCTCTACTGAAAAGGATGGGTGAAATGCAGAGGAGGATTTCCCTAAAGGGATAATAAAAAGTACTAAAAAAACATGACATCACAAGGTCGATCAAAGCATTTTGAGGTTTGGAGATGTAGACAGACAGGTGTGAATGAAACAACTCCAGGTATGTTTTTGATGAGGTAAGAACATTATAACATGACATAAAGCTCAATTTTGTGTTTTTTAAATTGTTAATGATCAGCTAAAAGCATGTAGTCTGAAGCAGATTTTGGATTGGGGAATAAATTGGATTATTTTTGTGATAAATTATACGGATTTTTGATGATGATTTTGTTTATGTGTATGAAATTCAAATTTTAAAGCATTTAATTTGTTTTAATAAGAAACTCTATACAGTTTCTTTTGGCCTATAACAGAACCCTCAAACCAAGGCAGTCACATCAGCCATGAAATATAAACATAAATTATATTATTTGTTGACAATGTTTTAGGTTCTTTATCACATATTTAACTTAACAAGTGGAGTGAGTAACAGAAATGTGGACTATATATGCATTGTAAAATATAAGGAAATATCGATAAAGCGTTACCTGGCAAATGTGTGGGTAGTGGCAGAGCTGTGTGTTGATTTGGGATTCATCACATAGTAAATGTTCAAATATTAAAAACTGAGGATTTTAAAGTGCAAATTCAAATTGAATACTTCCATTCTGGCAGGAACACTAAGTGACTAGAGTGTGAAACTGGCTGACCCTTCTCCTAAGCTCTCCATAAAATAACAGCACAAGGCCAACAAAAGGCTGTTTCAGGCCACACACTCACCTCCAGTGGTTTCTTATTTCAGATCTGTACAAAACTGCGGCCTCACCACCCAGAGACAGCACTTTGCTCTTTTCCATGGGGTAAAAACAAGTGAGTCATATTTCAGTGGTAAATATTAAATCCTCAAATGAAGAAAACAACTTTGAAATCCCAGTGCAGGAATCAGAAACATTTCCAAGCCTTTCCTCTAAGAAGATTGTCAAGCCAACCAAGACAAATCTAACTTAAGCCATGTATTAGATTCTTAATTGTATCGTGTCCACACGTCACAGGCTGGGGGCACTTTGTGAATCATTGCATTTGGAACTTATCAAGTACAATTGTTCTAAAAGACAAGCAGTAACCTTTCTTAACAGTGGGACTGCTCATGAAATGCATTGTGTTCCTACTTCAATAACTGCTGCTTTCCTGCCTCCCAGTGGAAATTAATATAACAAATCATACGACGACTACAGAATGACTTACTCTTTTTAAATTGTAATACATATAATATACCACTAGAGGGCAGCATGGCCAAATGTATGAAAGGGTTCTTTGACTTCACTTGCATACCGCAGAAGGTTCAATAAATCAGCCATATTACTTTTTATGTGGCAGGAATTAAATGCGTACAGTATGCATATTTCTTCCAATACTTTTTGTTCTTTAACAACATTATTCATCACTGCTTGCAGAGTACTGTTTGTTAGCATTGTCCAGTTCTATTCCAACATGTACAGTACAGTCAGTGGGAAAATGATCCTGGTTTGTATAAGCCTTATATTATTAATATGTAGTCAAGGCACAGTTATGGATGAACTTGATGGCTCTCTTCTGGTAACAAGCTCTTGTACTGAGACAGGAGACAACGACTGACTGTCACCCAACTGAACAGTGAATCACTTTAATTGGAGATTGTATTAAAGAGCCAGTGAACAAAACCGGAAGAGCTGTGGGTTAGGAGGGACACATAGCAGAATTTGTTGTGTAGATAAGACATCATTTACCCGTCTGCAAAGCAAATCTGTGAGTGACTTGCATTTCAATAGCCCCGACTATAGAGCAGGTGAAGATCACAGCAGAGATAGACTGTGCGCAAGAAACAAGGCAACAAAGTTGAAAAGAGGAGCTCAGGCGACAAATTCAATTTGGCAAGAGGTATTATGGTCAGGCGCTGCTCTGTTAGGGTGACAGGCCCTCACAGCCAGCGCTGAAAACAGGCCCTAACTAAATGTCGGCACTGATTCAAAGACAGGTAGGGGATCAATATCAATCGCACAGTTCACTTGAGTTCACCTCATACATTCCAGTATAAAATATAATAAATACTATTGCAAAGTTTGTGAATGAGAATTCAGCTTTACCTAGAAGTTCCATAGCATCATCCTCATCCTCCATCTCCTCCTCCACAAGCGAGGGGGCAGGGCTGTTGACGGAGTCAAAGGAGTCCTGGGACAACATGGATGCCAACAGTTTCTTATGATGCTGTTGCTGCTCCTTCAGCCCTTTGCTCTTCCCCTCCATTATCAGGCTAAAAGATAAGACGGAGACACAATTTCACTGAACTGATACAAAACACAATAACAGCCCAGGCCATATTTAAGTGCTGTAATTAGGTCACATATGAATAAACAGTTTCCATTTACTTTTAAGGTTCATTTGTATACTCTTACAATGCACACTGGCAAGGGAAGCAGTGTCAGCATGTTTTGATCCACAGGAACTACACCAAGGAGGCACCAATACTTGTATAAAAAGAACTAAAAAATATAAACAGGTACAATGCAGTTATGTCTCTTTTTCTGTGTTCATTGTTGTCTCCAGAGAGCTTGTCAAAAATAACAGAACTGCACTGTTTATTCCGCAAGTATTAGTATATCAAATAGAGGTGCATTCAAAGAGTTGAGAGCTTTGTGTGTATCTGGAGTGCAAAATAATTAACAAACATGAAATTATTCTGTCATCAGTCTAATGCAGTTTTATACTCATGGGCTAAAAGTGCCTTTGAGAGGAATCCTACAAAAGAAGATGCTCCAATTTATATTTAAGTCAATTTCTCCCTATAATCTGCCAATACTGACTCCTAATGAGATTAACAGAGTGCTTAAAATACCATTTCATAACCAATTGCCTCTAATTAGTTATACTAGTAGTAGCGTGCATGCAATAGAGCAAGACAACAAAATAACACTGGTATTCTTTAACAGTTCACTATATTATGCAGTTATGCAGTTGTCAGTGACTGTCCATTTTTGACATAACAAGCATAAAATGTCTTTGGCCTGGAGCACCTGGAAATGAGGTTAACCTTAATTTAGAACTGAGTTGAAGTGGTATCACGACACACATGTCTGATCGTGCCTTTGAAAGTGGATTATCAGACTAGTTCACATGGGCACTCCTCGAGTACTTCTCCCTCTGCCTTTCCGAAGAGCCTAGCTGTGTCAAACTTTAGTGAACCCTCAGGCACATGCAGACCTGCCAGAGGGACTGCTGTCACTGCTCCAGCACAGTTCAGTTTTGGTCCGTGGGATAGGTGGGTGCAGCATCTCAGCAGCCAGCGGGTCAGGGTCCACCTCTGCCCGGCCCATCCACTCACCAACCACACGGGGGCGCAATAAGGCATTGTAGCCTCCCAAATTCTACAACAGAAACACACAAAAACACAATTTAATGGGAAGAAATACAATTTCATGAACAATTATAAAAATATATATCACTTGTGCCTCATATTAAGACTGAAAGCATGCTGTTTTAAAGACGTTTGAACTAAACCCCATCATTCATTCAAGTTTGAGACTGCCACAATAATATATGGCCATTTATGTAGAATCAAATATAATACATAAAGTCAATTTAAACAACATTTAAGGATTTTAGTCATGGTAAGCCATATTATCACTAGTGCTGTCATGCGATTAAAAAAATTGAGAGATTAATTAATTATGATCTGTAATTACTTAATCTAATTAATCTCATTTTAATCTCACCTAAAAATTGCTGAGAAAAGCCTTCAATTTGAGGTATTTTCATTTAAATTCATTATTACATTATTGTGGCAGATCAAAAGACTGATATAGAACAAAAAAAGTGACTTTATAAAGTCATTTATTGTTTAACAAATCTCTTCAAACTGGCTGTTTAGCCCAAGTCTCCATGAATAAGAAACTGTTTGCTGTAAAGTAGCAAAGACTAGGAAATCTGAACATAATAACTTTTGTCTACTTAAAGACAATAAAAAGCCCAGTCTTTCCTTAACCATATTAAAAATATTATTGATAGAGAAATGCTTTATATATGAGATCACTGGTTTTAGTCCTGGTTTTAGTCCTGGTTTAGACCTACTTTAGTCCTAGTTTAGTCCTGGAATGGGTTAGTCCTGGTTTTAGTTCTGGTTTTAGTTCTGGTTTAGTCCTGGTTTAGTCCTGGACTGGGTTAGTCCCGGTTTTAGTCTTGGTGTTAGTTCTGGTTTAGAGGCGCACAAGAGGAAGCGCGGTTTATGCAGCGTACGCGAGAAAACGTACGCGGTGTACGGGAGCACGTCGGTGTCCGCGCAGTAACTACGGAAGGAAACGTGGTCCGCGTGTTCTCAGGTTAATGACGATGATGAAGGTGTGTGTTTGTTTGTGTTTGTGTGCGTGTCCCCTCATGTGGCAGGTCACTATGGGACAGTAGTGCAGACATCATGAGCCTATGCAGGTTGTTTTCACCAGTGACATTTAAGTTGTAGGCGATTTTATATTTGTTATTTTCTTTTTATATTTCACGTCGGGAGAAGAATTTCTAAGACACAAACGTGTTTTTACCTGTGCACTGTTGACTCTGTTCTACTGGCTCTTCGACCTCGTCCATTGTGCGACTGACGCCGCCAACGTTAACATGACGTTTACATCGCTCTTACTGCGCGCGTTTTGTGTGGGTTTCCGGCAATGAGTGGAATTACCGAAATAAAAAAAATATATAAATGTGTTTTTTTTGTGTGTGTGTGTTGTTGTCCCAACAACACATAAAAACAGGTTTTATAATAAAGCAACTCACATACAGAAACAGTAAAGTTAGAGATTAAAAATGAGATTAACGCGATTAAAAAACATAACGCGCTAAATATGACTGTAATTAATTAATCGCAATTAACGTGATAATTTGACACCCCTAATTATCACAATTTAAAAAAATAAAATATATTTGAATTTAAAAATGAAATGGTGCACCTGGTACAATAAGTCTATAAATAGGCTTGTATAACTTTTGGTGGTGTGAATATAAGACAAGATAGTATTGTCTTCTCCAGTGTCCTTCCACAATGTGAGACAATCTCTGGGCCATAAGCCAAGTGTGATAGAGGTGTGCTGCTGCAGAGAGAGAGAGGAGGAACCCTGCGGAAACATATAGTGTGTGTCATATTCAGACCAATCATGTCCAAATGGCACAGTGTATGGAGTCTGGGCAGCAGCAGGGCTGCTGTACAAAAGAGGAGAATTGGGGCCAGGTAAGGACAGCCTCAAGTATCGAGCGACAATGGAGACACACAGGACATCCTGTATGCTTGCAGGAATATTTATGCAGAATTACTCCTATGAATTTGTTTGTCTGTCAACTCTGGGTTTATTTGGGGACAGAGACCATGAAATAAAGAAAACTATTATTTGATTTTATAATTACTACAAAAAGAGTGGTGTTAAGGTGTTTCACCTGGTCAAGCTCATCTGATATGGCAATACCTGTTAAAGAAAAACAAACAATGTTGAAAAATGTATAGCATAAAAATCTAATGATATTACTATAATGTCAAGCACATTTTCCATTTACTACAAAGTGTTTGATGTAAGCTCTTACTGCGTGAGAGGCTCTCCAGAGCCTTGCCCAACTTTCGGCTCTCATGCAGGATGTGGCTGAGCTCGTCAAAGTCACGACTCTCTCTCCAGTCCCAGGCTGGACATTCGATCGACCGTGGCACTGAGCATGACACAAACACACATAATGAGATCTTACATGTCATATAGAGATTATCAACAGCATTAGTTTCATGAGTGGACATCACAGCTTGCTTTATTTGAAGGGGCATTTGGGATTCACAGGAGGATCAAGTGAAATTAAAATATGTGTGTGAAAAGTCAACCTAGCCCACTGTCCAAGCTCAGAGCAGAGGGGCTCAAACCCTAGGACAGCCTGTGCCATTCTGTTTGATGGACATTCAAAAAACTAAGGGGGAATCAGGAAATGACCCACATACTGCCCTGGCTGCAGCTACATTATGGTTAATTAATAAACTCTTGGTTTATTTATTTCAAAAAGAAGATCAGTATATAGAGCAGGGCCACTGACAGCCCCATCATGCTGAGAAAGACTATTTCAGACTCACAACAATAAATACTCTTTGAAGAATACTTTTCTCCAGACTACATATTGATATATTTTTCTTGCTTTCTTTCTATATATACTTTTTCTACTTATTTTGCACACACACTGCTTACAACATGACCCACAATCTAAACTAATTTCATTTGGAGGAAAAACACTGAATCACTGGACTACCCTACCACACTGTGTGCTATAGTGTAATTTATGTATATTAAACACAACAGTATATGTGTATATGTGTGACGAATACAAATTTTACACAGTATTCTCTGGGGTTTTTTCAGAGAATTAAACATTTTACCTTTGAGCAGAAAAGGTAAGCAGTAGTAGCGCATAAATTAGAAGCTGTCCTGAGTGATGTGTAATAACAGGTGCAAAAATTCTGCGTCACTGTTGTGTTTACAAATGCACAAAGCCAAATGAATGAGCTCTGGAGACTGTGTGACAGCTCTGCCGCTCCGATCTGCTGTCTCCTGCTCTTGTTTACCCTGACTAAGCCGCTTGGCGTTAACAGCAGACACACAGCCAATCGCGGTGCCAAATCCAGACTGGAGACTTTTCATTACTCCAGGCAAAGACAGGCTCTGTCTACCACTGCTGTTCAGAGCTGGGAATGTCTCTGTATCCTACACTAGGGGGTAAAGGTTAAATGTCAACAGGGGGTGTCCTAAAATGTGAGTTAAAATCAAATGATCTGTAGAAGCTGAGCAGGTTTTGAAGTTTCAGTTGACACACTGTAGACACTCAAGGGGAATTTCTTACATTTTAAATCAACACACCTAGACATTCCTCATGTATTTTTAATGAGATTTCATTAAAAGTGAAGGTTGTATAAAAATATGTTTCACAGATGGAAGTATAATATAATAATATAATAATACTAACACCACTAACACTGCTAACCTACCAGCACAAGCAGTAAGCCTACTACCACAACTGTTTCCTTTCTGGTGTGATGATACCAATCCTACATCAAACACTTTACATGAGTAGTAGTCTCTTGGTTTGAGTGACTAGACATATCATCATTGAATAATTGATAATAAATACATATTTACTGAATGCACAGCATGACAGTGAACTCTATAGTAATGTGGATTGCCTCAATAATAATAAGTTGAGGCCAAAGTCTTGACAGCAGTTGGTGGTAGAGACTTTTAATAGGATTTGGCACTTTGTAATGAACTCATTTAGAGTTTGGTGGGAAACTTCTAACGGGGGAGGAAGTTGTTTGGCTATACAGAGTAAATAATTTTAATTACATCTCATTGTATCTCATTACAATGAAAGATTATCCAATGAAATGTGTAATTGGCATACAGCAGATATCTAACCATACGTGCTAAAAGGGACTGTAAACCTCAAATACAAACTTCAAACTCACATGACTTTGACTCTGGAGATGGGGGAGAGATGCTTGACACTGCCAGGTCACTCTTGGATTTCTTGGGCTTCTTTGGATGGATTTGCCATGGCTTTTCATAGTGGCTGTACTCCCGGCGAGTGTGTTTGTATTCTGTTATAGATTAAAAAATACACTTTAGGTTTGGTGCACCAACTTATTAAGTCATGAATAAAATCATGCAAGTTTCCATCCATGCTCCGCTGCCCATGCTACAGAGTAATTGTTGTTTGTGAACCTGCTATTTATCAGACAGCGTCAGGGGTATTGTTAGAAGGAGTGCATGCATAAGGCTTGTGTTGTGAGCTGACCCGGGGAGCTCTGGGCCCACAGTGCAGCAGCCGGACAGGGCGCGGTGCAGTTTGCCGTGGCTGTCTTGTTTGGTCTGCAGGTGATCAATAAGAAAAGGGATTGGATGGTCGGGAGTCTCCGTTATCAATTTGGTCATCAACTCCTGTGTGGGCAAAGAAAATAGTACTGCATTAAGGTCAGTGTCAGTTTCGGTGTGCTATGGTGGCGCTGTGAAAAATATACTCTGATGAGAAAGAGATGTAAAATAATATATAAAAGAGGAGCAAGAAGAGATTAGATTAAACTCAGTTAATGGCAATTTCGCCCCACATTTCCCACAAGACAAGAATGAGACAAGACAAGATATTCACACTCAATTTTTGATTTATCCTATTTTATATTTTGGTGTCATTGCAACCCTTTTCTAACTACAGCTACTCAAAACTTAACTCACTAGAATGAACTATGTTTTTTGTTAAAGCCAAATGCAAACAAAACCCACAAGATGATTTTTACATTTTTTCTTGAGCGCAATAGCTTGCAATCTGGTGCAATTTAGACCAACATGAATTGTCTGTAGTATCAATAAGTTATTTTTTTAAAAGTTATAAGTTATATGTTATAAGTTATATTTGTCTGATTTGTTCAGATTGTTCAAATGACACACTATAAATGAAATTTACAGTAAAATAACCTTGAATTAGATTCCAATAGCAACTGATAAGGAAATAAAAACATGTTTTGATAAATAATAACAATAGTATAATAATGCAAGTCATGAGTTTATTAAATAGGTTTGACTTTGGGTTAGTAGGACATATTGTCGGTGAAGGACTGGATGAAACCCTACAGTGTTTTGTGTTTAGATATTGCAGTACGAGAAGCAGTATATGGTAGTAAACATATGTCCTTGTGGGTATGTGCATGTGTCTTATGTATCTGAAGCTACAGTGATACCAGGCTGCCTCTCAGTGTATATTATTGCAGGCTGGCCTTGGCTGAGCTGCGTGTGCTCGGAAAGCTAATCAGGTAATTGGTCAGAGGGACATTCCTGCCCAGTGCCCAGCCCCACAGACTACAGCAGCAGTCCTGATAGCAAACAGCATGCCTTTTCCTCCAGGCATGGCCCATTACATTTACCACAGCTATAGTGAAGAGTCTACTATTAAAGCTCACTCAAATCCAACAATTATACACCACTGAAGATAAGAAGGTGTAAAAAGCTGTAAAAAAGCTGCAATAAGCACTACTTTGCTCTTACATGTAATTTCACAAACCTGGCAACGAAAGACTACAACTCAAAGCAGCAATTTAGGAGAGTATGCCAGAGTGCTTTTAATTACTGGTATGTTTCCATCCATTTCATTCAAAAATGTTAGAGGATGAGAGTTGCATTTGGAGAGGCATGAGGAAAGTACATTATTTATCATCTAGTTCCTTAAATAAAATACATTTTATAAGCTGTAAGTGCATAATTTGATGATGAGTGGTAAAACTGCTTTTTACAGTATCTAATGAGGACACAGAAATAGCAGAATCTTACACACAACTGTTGTGTTATTCAGTGGATGAAGAGAGAGCATAATATTAAACATGCATGATTATTGATTGGCGGTGCCTGTGGAAACTCAAAATCCATAAGTCCAGATAGATGATGTCTGCACAGACTGTTGAATTACTGCTTTCTGTCCATCACCACCTGCACAATAAGATACCATGAAGACCATTCCATAAATCTATTCATAATTGTTATCTGTTGAGTGCTAAAACACACGTTTCATTATCCATACAGGCCATGAGAGCAAAGTAACTATATCTGACATTTTCACTTTGTATGGTAATCAGAAGTTTGAAATAACACTCCCCTTTGTATAGCTTTTGCAGAGTAATCGAATTCTTTTGACTGGTGCCGCTGTGCTGTGGACTACAGTCTCCAAAATGGGTCAAGATTTCTGTATATGTATGCAGATGTGATGCTATTTTGTTAGAGTGACTTTAGCTTGTTTAGCATATATTCATGATCTGTGTGTACAGAAATGAGGAAGAATGAGGAGAAGAGGGCTTAAAGGTAGTATATGTAACACGCAGTGACACAGGTTTAAAAATACACTACAAGCACAAGTTAGACGAGGATGTCATTAGTTGCCATATTTTCAAGGCACATGCACATGTTTTTTATGTAGAATGCGGCAAAGACTTGTCTGCTTTCTGATGGGGTAATACACTTGAGAATTGAAGTAGTTACTTCAGATTTTTGGACAGAAGTAACATTTATGAAATATTCAATAAAATTCTTGTATACACCACCTTTAAAGGAACTGTATGTAAGATTCTTATTTTAAATGTCATAAACTTGAACTTAAAGAACTTTATTAAGTTTATTATTTATTATTTTTTGTCTATGTTTTGTTATATTTTGTTTTCTGGAAATTATGAAAATAAATGTTTTTTTTGTTACCATTACGGACTAGAAGAAAATAAAGGCATGCACAGTCCTATTAAAAAATAAATAAATAAATAAATAAATAAACTTGAACTGATCTTGATCTGTGTCTTCAGGTATGACATAAACAAATATAGTTTTTACCGATATTTTATTCATCATTGATATTTAATGATAATTTGATGTTTTGGTTCACAAGATGATTATCCAATCAGAAAGCAGAAAGTGTCTTACATGAGTCTCTCATTTAGTTGGTTGGTTTAAACCTCTAAGGACTTTCTCTGATCTGAATTCTCACTAACTAAACCCCAGCACCTGCAGACAATTAATCAGTGCTAATGCTGCCTGGTTTCTGAGCTTTCACATGAGAAAAGCTCTGCAGGTAAAGGCACTGGCAACCCAGGTTCAGCTGTCATGATTATAGTATCTTAAGCATCAGGAAAGCCAACAGGTGAATAGGCAGTGTAGGCCATATCACTACATCTGTTGAGGAGGAGATATGTGAATACCCAGGGCGGTTTTGAGTTTGGGAGCTGTTATCAGTAGCCAAAAGACACCCTTGTCCTTGAAAGCTCTCAAAGATTACCTCTAAGGACGATGGCGGAAGAGGCACTTGCTTCCTTAGACCTTCAAAAACAAACATCTCACTGTCAGAGGGAGGTGCAAAAACACAGGTCAAGAGCGGGACAGGCTTTGTGAAGTCATACCTTGTGAGAAAAGAGAAGGACACTCCACAGCGGAAGAGAGGAGAGGACACTGACGGACTATTGAGGTAAGATTTGTGGAAAAGGTAATGTCTGATGGCAAGATGTAATTAGTGTGCTTTACATTAGAAAGGCAGCATCTGTGTAATCTCCCGTGATGGGAAGAGATGGGAAGAATACTTGTATTTAGTTACAGAATACTGAATATCCACATTAAAATATATCCGTTACATATTCCATATTTTCACACTGGTGCATTTTAACTATAGTGTAAAAACATGACATGTAAATACAGACCATTTTATTTTTGTTGCACTGTTTGTTATGCATTCATCTATATCCAATTATAAAGAAAAATCGTACATGCACTGCAAGGTATGCATTTTCTTTTTTTTTTTTTACTAATACCAACAGTTCAAATCCCTCAAGCACTGCTAAGTATTCTTTTTATTTTATTTAGGAAAGTAACTGTATTCTGAATACCACAAAATGAAAATGTAAGTGTAACAGAATACAGGTACTCAAAATTTGTGGTACATGTATTCAGTTACTTTCCAACACAACACATAGCACAATTCTATTCAAAACTATAATTTAAAGTTTGAATGCACTCTGACCACTTTCTTAAATAAAGGGAAATTGAAGGATGCTACCAAACACATGTATAAAGTGGAATAGCAGAAACCCATGGCGGAGGCATTGACAGTAGAGCAGGGTGCTACATAAGCTCTGTGGTTTAAGCGCCTCTGTGTAAGCCTTACTCTTTTCTTCTGTGTCAGCGTGCAGCCTATTGAATTGTCACCTCCGCTGTAGTAGACTCTGGAGTGACCCGCTGAGCTTTAGAGGACTACAGACCCAGCAATGCAGAGCTCTATACTAACAGCTGACTATATACAGTGTGAGGCCAGAAATATGTTATTATAATGAGGTTTGGTTGACTGATTATTTGCTTAAAGATGAAGTAATAAGTTCAATTTCGATTGTAGACATGAACACATAAATAACAGGGTTTTTTTTTTTTTTTTTTGTTTTTTTTACATCGTGAGACAGAACCAGACATTACAAAATTTGACAAATCAAATATAAAGATGCAGAGGGTAGCCTGGTTAAGCTGTCTAATTTTGCATTGCATTGGCATTAGTACTGATACTGAAAATATAGTTTTAAAACTAGTAACGAGCCACAAGATAGTTGAATAACATAACAGAATGTTGTGTTGAAGTCTATTGTCTAAAAAAGTGAATTTAAAAGTATTGAAATATGTATCAAACATCAAGCAATGAGCCTTTCCCTTGATATCTAAATAAAGTAGAGAATCTTGGTATTGTGACAAAACAGCAAGACAGCATAATCAGAAATGTACTTTCAAATGCTTTTACTTTATTTGCATATATCTCTTATCTAAGTCTAAGCGAGCTTAAATAGCCACAAGCTAAATGCTCCTCACATGTCCTTGCACTAAAAGATTACATAGTGCCAATCTTCTTGCAGGCCTCCCCAGGGAGCAGCTCGTCCCTGCCACACACAGAAGCCACTAGCTGCCATTGATTCACCTGCAGTGGTCAATAAAAGATGAGAACACAAATCTTAGGTTATACAAGGTGAAGGCACAACTAGACAGTGCTGCCTCATCTTCTGTACTATATAGCCCCATGTATACTGTAAAAGCATGGCATTGTTTCAGCTGGAGAAAGATGCCACTGGAAGAGAGCCAGACCTTGAAAGCAATCACATGGAATACACAATGTCATCTGACCAGCCCAGCCATAAATTAAAAACAGACAGTTCTAATGAAAAACAAATGTAGATAATGTTTGACGCTATTATGTGACTTTTGGTTCATAAATGAATGGAGATGTTGAATTGGCAAAGACGCTTAATAACAGCCACAGTGCCATATCTGGTAATGGGCTTATCACTATTTAATATTTCAGAGGAAAAAAGGAAGAATCTATTAACCAAGAGAAAATCAACTGATTCATTATTGATGATAACGATCATTTGCTGGAGCTATGAGAAGGTTCTATATAAATCTGAGTCAAAGCTGTGTCTCTGTGGTCTGAATGGCAGAAAGCACTGAACAGATGAACAGGGAACAAAGGGGAATAAATCACACTGCACCGTATTAGAAACTGCAGTCTATTCTGTAAAAAGAAAGGCAAAGCAGTTAATCTAGTTGTCAACCACTGATCTTTTTCATTATTATGTGCATGGATTTCATACTACAAAAGGTAGAGGAAAGATGAAATTAAACTACGGGAGGGAAGATAACTTGTGCAGTTTTGACTCGGTGCACTGGGAGAAGTAGGTGTAACACATGCTCTAATCTTTCAATGATTATTAATAAAACTCTGCAATAAAGTTTATGTTGTTTATGCGTTTATATGAGTTTTCCTTCTGGAGTTTGATATTGATTAAACCTGATGATAAACACTTTCACAATTATGTATGCTATAGGACAGTTTAGAGGATTGGGAAGCAATTAAATGTGTGATTTATAGTTGAATTCACTGAAGGAGCACAACAATATTTTGCAATTTTCAGATCACTACTTAAAATTCAGGCTGCACACATCACATTTAAATGATTTGTGGAATGGGCAAACGTACTTAAAGTAGTGAGTTTGCACAAAGGATCAGGGTTATATTGTGTCTAGTCTCATTCATATTGTCCATAATAACACACATTTTCACTTTTATGCCACTATATTCATTTAAAATATCTAATATACACTGAAAACTGCAGTTTATTTGTACTGCGTATGTAAAAAAAAACACTACCCAGCCCTATAGTCTATCACATGACTGGCTGATTACATGTACATCAGTGGGCCCTCAGTGCCACAGGCTGTGAGTCGACATGATAATGTTATTAGCATGCTCGACGTTAACTGTGTCTGTGTCCTCATGTCAAAACACAGCCACACTACCAATCTAATTCTTATCTGTCGTCCTCCTATCTGTCGTGTTCTTTCAGATATCCTCCGCCCTGCTCCTCACCTTTACCCATTCTCCCTCTGGACCTGGGCCTCCGGCAGTGCTCAGCAGCCTATCTTGTTGTAATTACTGTAACTGTGCCTGAAGGAGCAGTGGATTAACTCAACCATGACCACAGATCTGCCACACTCACTTGTTCATCAGTGGATACAAGAGTGAAATCTGATATTGTGATAAGACGCTCTGGGAGATGGTTTAAAGAAGTTTGAAGTAGCAATAAAACCTGAAAAGGTAGTATATAATATATTAAGAAAACAGACCATAAATAACCATTACAGCATACATGAATTCATCTTCAGTCTTTTGTCAGCAGTAGTTCTAAGAGATGCAGAGACTATATCAGGCCGATATTTGCACTTTTTAGCAAATGGGCTATTGGCCTTAAATGTCCAGCAGAAGCCGATATTATGTGTTGGCCGACCTGCTGCCTAAAGAGTACACACAAAGCTTTATTTGAACAATAATGCAAATGCAAATAACTGCTCAAAATGTGACTATATAGCCCTCTTGAATGGTGTGTGTTGAATGGTAAAAAGGGACTGTAGATGAGTTTGTTGTAAATTAAAATGACATCATTTGGTGAAAATAATCTAAATCGCAGGACCACAAACCAAGAAAAAAATGATCTAACAAAGGCTTTTTGCTAAAACTTAATCTAAAATAAAATAAAAAAGTTTTGTATATCAGCCATCTGAATGTGCTATGTATTTTTTTCACTTTTAAGTGGTTGCTCCTTGCATTTGCACCTCTACAGGAACTTTGGTGTGCGTTTTCTGTTTCATGTGATATGCCCTTGTAATAACATATGTAATCATATAACAACAAAGATTATGTTCATTTCATATGTCACATCACATGTATCATGGTCACTGTTTACACCCCTACATTTTGAACAGTGTGAGGAATTGACTCTGCCACCCTCATAATAAATACTACTAAAACTACCAATTTCATAACAGTTAAAAAGGTTAATACATATACATGAACACATAAACTACAAATGAATGCTACTTCCAAGCAGTAGCACACTGTAAAATTGGCCAAATCCCATCACACTGCATGCAATAAATGAGCTTTTAAAGTCAGATCAATAGGTCAGAGAGTGCCTGGGCCCTCCGGTCACCTCACAGCTCAATAGACAAGGTTTCCTCATAGATGGATAAAAGTTCCACACAGGAATCTATAAGGACCTCACTGCACATTAAGAAGCTGAATGTAATGTACTAGAGTTAAGGTATTGGAAGAAACTCTGCAATTATCTCACTTTCTTTTTTGCTATTGATTTCAAATTCACTCTCTGCGTGTAAACAACAGAACTATGGTAAGTTATGTTAAATGTCACATTATATTGGATTATGTTTAAGCTGATTTGAATTCAGTTATTTGGAGACATTTGCACAGTTGACTGGTGTATGGTGAAAAAAGACATTTCATTAGAGAGGACAGAGAGGAGAAAATCAATTTTCCTTAGCAAATCATAAGCTGTGTGTGTTCACAGTCAGAGGAGGATCCACTCTGTGACTCTGGAACAGACACTACGGCAGATGGAGCAAATACTTGTTTTACTTTGAGGAAAAATAATTTTGTTAACTTCTGTTTCTTAAATGTTTAAATAAGAAATACTTCTGTATTTATAAAATCTCAAAATGTTTTGTTTTATTTATACTGAAATGATATACACATTCCAACAGTTTTGTATTGGAGATGAAACCAGGCTGACATGTGGATTTAAAAACTGCTCTGAGCCATCATCTCTACAGTAGTGAATACTTAAGTGAGCAATACTGATTCAGTACAAAATGCAATGCTAGTGAAATGTAGATGCTGTAATGTGTCTAATGAGTGTCATAAGGTTTGTTCATAGTGGGGTACTTTAAAATCCCCATAAGTCTTTTGTACTTAACTAAAAGGCTCATGGGCTCAGTTCAGAGTTCTGCCTAATGTGCCTATAAAACATGTACTACTTCTGGTCTACTAGTACTTTGAAAGATCCTTAAACAGTGATTTCATTGATCACCGACCAGTGCATTAGGTGCACCATAAAAGTTACATATAAAAGTTAGACAGTTTAAGGACATAATATAAGACAGTGATGGCACACAGAAGCGTGTCCACACAGAGAATGAAGGTCCAGTGGGTGGAGTGGAGGTGAGGACAGACCAAGAGAAGTGCAAACACTGAGCACTTTCCACTGAAGCTCACTCAGTCTGTCATCTGTACCCTGTGCTTCCGCTGATGGGGAGTCACTGTCCAAGGTACTGAAACAGCCTGTGTCACTTTTACTTCAGCTGTATAAACTATGCATTTTATGTGTACCCTACAGTGGTATGCATACAAAACATGCATCTATGTAGGGCGAACTGTAACATCAGCATTTTACTGGAGAGCTGCATTTGAATATTGCAATAGGAACTCTGCTGTGTAGCTGGCAGGGTCAAAACGATATGGTATATCTGCTGTAACTTGTAGGTTAGTTTTTGTTGTTGTTGTTGTTGTTTTTTCTCTAATTTAAATCTTGATTTTGACTGATGGCCACGTGCACTAGACTGGTAGCAGGTTGTCACAATATTTAAAACTGTAATTTGTGTGACTTTAGTTACTCAACAAAGCCCAAGCATTAAGAACTGGAAATTGCAAGCAGTGCATTGTGAAAATAAAATATTATATAGATTGTGCAAGCCTATTATACAGCATTAAGTAATTGTTTCTGGGACTCTGGATGCACTAGAATAATAGCCTATGATACGGTAATATACGAGATTAGGCACTCAGTTATAGTTTATTTTGCAGCCCTGCACTTCCCATTTGGCACAAACTATAAATTACATTTCATTACGGCTTATTGCGGTCCGGCGCAGTCTAACTGGGCTTCTAACGAGCCTCAACATAACTTATTTCGGTTGTGCATGCACTTACCTCAAACAGGGGTCCGATCTTGTTCTTTTCCAGATACGACTGAATTCTTGACTGTTGCGGAGACGCCATGAAGAAACTGTAAGACTCGTGAGCGCGCCTGTTAGCAGCGGGATGAAATCATGAGGTGAGCCCGGGTGTCATTCGTCCTTCACAAAGGCGTCTGGTCGGCGGGGAAAGCGCGTAAAAGCAGCGGAGGGAGGTGGAGGAGTGGGTCGGCTCATTGTGGACAGCCAGCCCGGGACCCTCCTCAGCCTATCGCCTCTCAGACTGACCCGACAGCGGAATACAAGTCCCCAGTCACGGCCGATGGCACCGCGTCTGTCTCAGTACAAATGTGCCGCTCTCTGGCTCCGGCGCGCACAGCTCCACACAGCCACTCCCATTGAGCGGGCAGCCGAGCCCACTGCTGCTCACGAGACACGCCTCAAATGCGCCCTCCACCTGAACGTGCACCACTTATTAGCATTCAACTTGAGTACACATAGAAAAGAGGCGGTTTTCTGAACATATTTCAAATAAAAAAAGAAATATATCTACGTATAGACTGAGACAGCAAGAGGCTCCCAGCAGATTTAACTGTCACCCCGGTTTGCTTTTTCTCCTCCTTCACGTTTGTTGTCAAAAAAGGACAAAATTCAATAAAAAAAAGAAAAAAGGATAGGCTTACTTTAATCCAAATACAAGAATCAAACTCTGACTCCCAGCACAACTTTGAAAAAGTGTCAACTGGGTTTGTTTTCCTCTGCTTTTTTTTTTTTTTTTATGCATGTTTGTTGTAAATAAAGACAAAACACAATAAAACAAAGTGACAAAAAATAGAAGAGATAGGCTTAGTTTAATCCAAATACAAGAATCAAACTTTTAATAAAGAGTGTTGATGAATAGCCTCATGGAGTTTAACGAAAATATTCACTGCAATGCTCAGTACTACAGTGTATATGCAAATGAACCAACAGCAGGACACAAAGGACTTGAGACACAGCTGCAGCTTATAGCTTTATTATTTGTTGCATAGAGAACTACTCCTCATTCTACAGTGGCATATGTTCATTTACACAGACAAATGTCCTGAGTATTGTGAATATTACATGATATAGATGGCTTGCCTATATGTCCTACCATATACTGTCTGTTAATAATGATAAGCATTATTATTATGTAAGGCATGCATTAAAACTCCCAACGTTACCAAATATTTACAGGAAAAACACAGCACATTAAAGGAATTATAAGAACACATTATTAAAAAATACTGCAGTGAATAGAAGTACTTTAGTCTGGAATAAGACATCTGCAAGGACATCATTCTCCCCAACAACAAGAACTTAAGAACAAAATGCATACTGAGGTCCATGCCTGACAGTGGAATTGTTTAGACATCACTCTAAATATCTTTTCAATGTCACAATGGCTTACAGATGATAGCAAAATAAAAATATGGAAAAATATAATATGTAATAAAATACTATTTACGACATTTCTGTCTATTTACACTTAAGGCAGCGATGTACGAAAGGGTAAGTGTGGTTGTGTTGATCCTTCATTGGCACAGGGGGTTTCAAGGCTTTCAAGTGGAGGGCCATTCAGGGGTCGCCGTCTGGAGGAGGAGGCTGACAAAGCTTGTACAACCTGCCAGAGGAACATACAGCAAACAGACATTTCATCATTGACGTGGAGGTCACACACTCATGCACAAGTAGAGTGGAAATGTATTTAAGAGAGTGTATGGCAATTCTCTAAAGACAGTAACATGAGATTTCTACATGTGTTCTGATGACAGTTTTATTACACATTTGCATCTAACCCATAGACATAATGTTGTATGCTTTTACATCTTGAAAAGTAGTCATTTTAAAGAGACGTTATGTCGTGGCTCAACACAGTCTTCAAATACTGTGAAAGTAATTGCAGCCTTCAAATGCAAATGTCACTAAAATAAGGATGCATGTATAATTTATGAGGAAATATAGTGCAGGAAAACCGGTCCTGTGGTATATTTGGATATCAATCAGAATCTTTGAAATGCTCTTGATTGTTGACAGTTGCAGTTGGGGGTTTACATTGATTTATTTTAAAGTAAAGTAAGTTCTAAAGTAAGGTGTGTTGTACTGTTGTGTTGTATTGTTGTGTTGTACGTGAATTTGCAAAGGATATCATTTCACATCAGCAAGCAAGGTCAGACAGAAGTGGTTCTTGTAGCGTTTGAAATGAAAGTTAGAGAGGTTTACCTTGGGACAGACGAAGGTGTGCGGTCCCTTATTCCCAGATTCTTGGCTGAATTTTGACACCTTGCTCCCTAGAAGACATAAACAATTCATGACTCAAAATAAGATGCAAACACAACAGCACAAAATCAGACAATGGTTGCACATACAAATAAAAGGTCTAAAAACAGAGTATGCATCATGTGCCAATTTTTCATAATTGTACAAATCAAATGTGTGTAAGGGCCGCGATGCAGTTGTAATCCTTTATGTTTAACAGGAGGTGTTTAAAACCCCTAATGTCTAACAACACATCTCATAATGAATTAATGAAGGGATATAAAGCCCAGACCACCTGCTCCAATTTACACTAGCATTTACACTGCAGCTGCTCCTCTGGTCCTAAAAGGGCTGGCTGGCTTTGGCTTTGTATGCAAATCATGTGCAGAAACGTCTTAGCAAGGAAATAAAGTCACGAGTAAGGATTTTGTAAGATGAATGCTGTATGGATGTGGGAATGTGCTTAGTCAGGAGCACAGCTTTCATGACACTTTTAGTTTTGTGCACTGTGATACACAAGGGCCACAAACCATTTGTAAAAGTTTTATTGCTGAACCATACTGTGCAAAATTTTGGTCTGTTTTCTTATGCTAGATCCAGATTACTAATTGAATTTGGAAAGTAAAATAGGTCATTTCTAGGGATGTAACAATAACCAAAATATTGTGATATCGTATCGTCAAAGTTCTCACAATAATATCGTGGACCATCACAATCGAATTACAAGTCTCTTTCCTTGAATTAAGAGTTATGGTGCAGCAAAAGACAGAGGGAACTACATAGACCATGATCCTTTGCTCCATTTCAGTGTAGGCTACATGAAGAAATAACAGTTTTAAGCACTTTTAAGTCTTAGTTCTTTGGATTAAGTCTTGTCAAGACATTTTATGAGGAAAAAGTAACATATAAATGGTTTTGTAAGCCTCCACAAAATATTGCAATAAATATCATTCCGTGAGGTTCATACCGTGACAATATCATATCGTGAGACTTGGATATAGTTACATCCCTAGTTATTTCCCATAATGTTCCCTCACTAAAAGATACAAAACATAATCTTATTGTTTTGGTTGGGAGGTTCACTGGCAAAAGCATATTTCTTGAAGTACTAGACTTTCTAAATATAAAAAAATGCAGAAGGATGAAATAATGATGATGTGACAAAGGAAAATATTAATGTTAATGACATGTAAACTGCACGAGGATACTGCAAACATGTGACTTGATTTGACATTGACTTGACATTGGTGACTTGATTGGGGTGGGGATAGATTATCAAAGAAATGTTTATTTGAATGATCTGTGAAAGGAGCAGGGTTTATAAGATGTATCTTCTACCTGTTCCCTCTGTTTGTGCCAGTAATGACAAGGTACATAATGGTTGGAACATGTAATTAAGTTCATTGTCAGATTTTTGTTCTCTTTAAATGATGGCAATGAAATAAAATGGCATCAGCAATAAATATAATAAATAAAATGAATAAACTGTCTGGACACTGTAACTTAGAACCAATGCCTTGGCAGAGGTCATCCTTTTTGTTGTACATTGCTATACCTCATTTGCTCCTTGCCGTTCCTAAAAGTTTTTTCCACAATAGCCTGTATACAAAATCTAAAAACATGAAATTTAATCATCATCCAGAGAGGTCATCGGTGACTGTCCAATGCATTAGCTGACCCCTTAGTTTCCTCTGTGTCAGTCCACTGTCTGACCTCGGCTCTGTCCACAAATCAGGATAGGATCAGCAATTACACCGTCTATCATGCCCCCCCCATCGTGATGCCCCAGGACAGATATGCCCCCTAATGTCTCCAAATGACACTGCGTCCAGGAGAGATCACCCCGGGACAAGCAGTGTATTCAGAACTCAGCAGGTCGTAAATTTTCATAGGGATTTGTACTGCCCACTGATTTATAAGGTCATAAATACTGTATTCTGTATTGTTTTAATTTTTTATGTGTTCATATTTCTTTCGTGTGTAATTATAAAGCTACCACCAGTACTAAATAATACATGATTCAGCCATTTTTTTAGAGTTTGCCAAGTTTCTTTCAGATTGCAACTGTTGTGTAAGTGTCTCGCTCACAGAGGCATATGAGTCAAACTATGATTTATATCCAAAATGGCACCATATAGAATCAAATGTTAATGAAACTATTACAGTCTCTGACACATAGTTGCAGATTTGTCAACACAGAAGTATAAAATATTACAAAAAAGGCAACAAAATGACCTCAGACTGACCCCTAAAGCATTGATATACAAAACCATATTCTTACACTGTGTGTGGACTGGCAGACATCTTAGTCTACAGCACACTACCAGCATCAAATTGGCCTTTTATATAGACGCACAGATACACATAAAGGTTTTGTGTATCCAATGCACTCTACACTGGTGAGGTGAAAACGCATTTGCCAGCATGGTGGCTGTGTTATGGGCTGTTTGTATCGACAACCTGGTAAGACGAAATGAAGCAGATAGTTGTAATGCTTCTCTATCTATACATCTCATTCTAAGACATACTGCCACATTACAGATAACAGCAGGGTGTTCACAAAGAATATTATACCACAGAAAAAGACAAGCCTTGACTATATCAAAATATATTGTACCACTTTCCCTTAACAAGCTCTGTAATTACAAAATAGATACAATACATTCTAATTATTGACTCTGCACCAACTCTATTTGAGGGGCAAATAAAAGAGAGAATTGATTGTACAGAAATACGCAAGGGGAGAATTGATGAGCATGAAATATGTTGAAAGTTTGAGAACATAACTTTGTTTTGTACTGAGCAGC